AGACGCCGCCAGCCAAGCGCTGTCAGGTGCCAAGACAAGAAAATGCTTTAGATGTGACACAATGAGTTCGGCCGGAAATTCGAGTCAGTTATCTTTAACCCCACTACACTCACTTCTGTGCCATTTTGCGCGGGCTCCGTGCAAAATGAAACAGAAGGACGCAGACCAAAGGTCCCTTCAGAACAATGTCTTTTATTCTCAGTTTCTCTCCGATTTATTATTGCCTGTGTTTGGGAGGGCCAATCTTACTTATACCGTTAAAGTCAAGGCATCCCTGGCCACTGGAGAGAATACGAGCCGCAAAGTTAGTTTCAGTGTGTGCGTGTGAGAGTCCTGTTCAACAGGGTCACAGGACGGTCGCGCTTCTTTGAACGCACACAGGCTTCGCCCAGTCTTGTGGGGGAATCTTGTGCAGGGCCTGGGGGAAAATGGCATCCAACCTGGAGGTCATTTATGCCACAGTGAACATATCCGGTACATGGTCTGAAAATGCCATGGCAGGGGCCATCGACACGGTTTCCCTGATCTCCCTGTACCTGGACGTGTGCATTACCTCCAACGTCTTTCGCGGCGTGGTGTCCTTAAGGCTGCTGCGGCTCTTCACTTTGTTCCGCCTGGAGCGGAAGCACAAGTTCTTCTCCCCGATCCTGACGGTGATCGCCAACAAGCAGACACTTGGCTTCTCCCAGGCCGGAAAGTGGGTGAGCCCGGATATGTAGTGAACATTCGCTAGCAACACGGTTCACCCCTTGGATTTGAGGGTGGGTGAGTGACAGGAAACCAAGTGCCTGCAATTTCGGCCGGCGGATTCTTAGTTCCTGCAAACATCTTTTGTCCTGGCCCCACCACCGACAAACAGCGTCGGGCGCTGAGCGTATGCTCATTTATAGGCAACATCATTGTCCAGGGGTTCTGCATCACGTTCCATGGTCTATGATTGTGGCTTTCCCAGGGGCTAGGTTCCCTGAAGTCAGGACCGAGAGGCGGGCCTGAAAACAGAAGCAATGGACAAGAGAGAAAACGAAAGGCTTCTCCTTTTTCGGATTCTTTGTCGCCTTTTCACCAGCGCGAAAGTAGATTGCAGACTTCTTGTTTCTGTGAGTAGAGGGAAGTGAGCCAAATTGGGGGAATGGTACCATCAACTGGTAGGTGCCCTTTAATGGTTTCGGGGGGGGGGGGGGTTGAACCGCTGAGGACGGAGCTAGGGGCCACCCTGGGCATTGCAGGGCTGCTGCTGCTGGTCTCCTCTGCCTGCATGTGCCTCGTGGGTTCCTGGGGCAAAGCAAAGTAAGCAAATGATACATGGGGATTCATGTCTACCAGCCATTGTTTTGGGGTTACCCATAATAATTGATGCTGAAGAGTTCTGTGACTTTCTCTGACAATCCCCACCCCGCGGCCAGATCAGCACACTCGTTTACCCCTCGAACCCACCCCTAACACCAACATAGACCTTAGACCTGCATGCTGCACTATTCGGGGCACCATGTGGGTGACGGCAATTTACGGGGGCTGGGCGTAAATGTGAGGGGGGGCGGGGGGCTTTTTCTCTTAGGACCACTGACAGTGTGAGTGTGCTGAAAGGTGATTGATGAACGTTCGTGAACAATACAAAGCTGCCAGGCAAAGTTGGCAACCAGGCACCTTCCCCCAACAAAGCAATGGAACAGCCTCACGGCAGCAATGAAGTGATGGTCTACATGGGCCTGTCTTTTTTGAGGCAACCCTGTTTGGGTTTGTTTTAAACGGAAATGAAAGGGAAGCCGAGCCCATGGGTTCTATATCTCACTTGGGTTAGGATTCAAATTGTCAGGTACTATGTGGAGCTTGAGAACCCCAAGTTCGACAGCTTCCTGGCATCCATGCTGCTTGTTCGCAGCGCATTTAAGCTCTGTCCGTTCTTCAAACAGGGCCACAACAAGAACCAAGGTAATGAGACCTGTGTCAAGACAAACGAGTGCTGACTTTCGGCTGTTGACGGCGACAATCCATGACGTCAACAGTTGAGCGAAGACAAAACAAAAACAGAGCTGTAAGAAGGAATACTTTTGGTGGCCCTTGGCTTCAGGAATGGGCTTGTGGGGTTGCTTCTCCGTGTGAGGGTCTTTTCGAAATACGAGGCGGATTTTCAAAAGTGCTACATGATGGGAAGACTAAAACAACATGCAATGGACATGTACAGGTGTTTCGCTTTGTTTTTTTTTTTGGTGTTCAGGGTTCAGGTTTGTGCTTTGATGCCGGTTTCAAGGCTTAGGGTTTAGGTTGTGCTTTAGGTTGCTTCTATGTATTTTTCGGCACCATTACCCGCATTCTGGGAGTGCGGGGGATTAAAACGAGCGACAACCATTTGGTGAGGACAAATTCGCAGTTCAACATACAAGATAGTGGGGTTTTCGGTGCTTACGGTTTTGGGCTTTTAGGGTTTAGGTTTGTGCTTAAGAGATTACTTCTCTATTCCAAGCGTGTCAAAGGACACATGGGAAGCGGATTTTTGCATATCGTTTGTGTGGTCTGGGCTCTTCAATTTATGCCGGTCCATGTTTGTCTCCGTGGAGTGGAAAAGGCAATGTCATCTTATGTCCGGAAATTTTGGCTGGTTGTTTGCCTGGGTTTGTGCTTTTCCTTATCAGGTGGTGGGGCACTGCCACGCTGACCACCGTGGGCTACGGGGACATCTACCCCATCACCCCCTTCGGCAAGATGTTGGGTGGGGTGGTTGCCTTCTGCGGCGTTCTCCTCTTCGGGCTGCCGGCCGGTATCATCTCTGCCGGCTTCGCGGAGGTCTTTGGGGAGAAAGAGCAGAGGCCCAGCAGAGCTTTGGGGTTTTGCTAGCGTCGATGTGAAGTTGCACTTTGGACTTTGGGCTGGTGCGCGACTGTTTTTCGGTGAAGGGTGTGGGCGGCTAAAAGGAAGTCATCCATTCCATTCTTTTAGCCAGTTGCAGCCGCTGGGTTCCGGTCCAAGTTGTTTTTCTCTTTTTTTGGTCTGTGTGGGGGGTTCCCTGTGAAAAATCAACCAACAAAAAGAGAGCGTCCCTGTTTCCCACAGCCACTGAGCGCGTAAGGAGAAGGGGCCGCCAATCTGCGCCGCGGCAAAAGAGTGGCACATTTCTGGGAAAGGCGTTCGGCAGTCTTGTCGCGTTTCCTGTTTGATGCTGCTTGTCGCCAGAGTCGAGCTTCTTCCTGAGGCGACCTTGATGAGCTTCTTGTTCTTGGGGTTTGTCAACACTACATACGAGAGTTTGCAAGGGCAGGGTTCTCAAAGCCAGAAGGATCATTTCCCTCGAAGCCACCACTAGGCAATCAGAGAGTTTGCTCTTCCAGCCACTTTGGGCCTGCCGATGTTGCCCAAACACGTCCGCGCCGAGGAGTGCCGCTGCCACCGACTGGAGGCGGACGTTGCACGCCTGGCGGGGGCGCAGCAGAGCTTGATGTCCGAGCTGCAGGAGGTGAAGAGCCAGGCCCATGAGTCCCACAACACGCGGGGGCAGTGGGGAGGAAAACCGCGGGAAGGGTTCCATGGTGTCTTGCTGGAAACCACAGGGGGTTCAACTTTTGGACCATGCATGTGTAGTGACAGCAGGCGTTCCGAGACTACGGGGAAATTGGGAGATCCTTTGATTAAGCTAGACGAGCCATGTTTTGTTGAGACGGCCAAAGGTCCATTTGTGTTGCTTTGGGGTAGGAGATAGATCAAAGGCGGACTCTTTTGCACCCTGCCTTCAGCGTCCCAGCGTGGAACAGCAAGCTCAAACCGCAGTTCTTCGTGACTGGGGGGGGGCTACACCAACTTGAAGAAAGAGAGACCACATCAGAACAGATCAGCACGAAGAGCAACTCCAACTGGGCTGATCGAACGATCGAGTTGCCATGAGTTCAGAGGGAAGCTTGGAGCCGAGTAAGCAGAATGCAGGCTTACTCTGGTTGTTTGACATGAACACGTCACAAAGCCAGACGCTTGGCAGGCTTGTATGGATTTGCAAAAAACATCCTGCATGGTAATCCTGTGTGTAAGTCTGAAAGCATCGGTTTTTCTGATTGACCCTAAATCATGGCGACCGCACAAGGGGCTCTTGCTCGCCCTCACCCATCATGAAGACCGGGACAACTGCAGTGTTTTCTTCTCCCTGCGATGGCTTGGCTTAGGGTAGGGTCGTTCAATCAATTTAACCTGGAACCGTACCAGGAGATCTTTTGAAAGGAACACGGCAACCGGTTGAGAATCCTTCAATGAGGTTTCATGTTGGCGGCAGCTCCAGGGTGAGTGGGGGTGGCAGCGGATCACTGGTTGCTTGCCCATCTTGGTCATGTTGGTTGTGCAACGACAGAGGGATTAGGGCAGGTGGCGATAGTAATGATAGTTGAGTTTCCTGGCGTTCAACTTCTTCAAACTTAGCCTCGTCTCAGGTGGCCGCCTCCCGCCATGAGCTGAAGGAACTCGCCGAGTTGCTGCGTGCCGAGCTGGCCCCGAAGAAGAACAAGTGAGAGGATCCATGCAACAAGCGAGCCCCTTGCGCTGAGCGCGGCGAGCGCATTTGAGCGCCCGGAAGGCTCTGCTCGCCTGCGCACGCAGGCGCAATAAGGATGGCCAGAGGAATGTTTGGCGACACGACCAGACTGGAGGGCGTGACCAACGAGCTTTGCGCGATTGGTCATGCTGAGCCGCCGGGAATCTGGAATCTGCGCTTGAGATTCGTCGAAGTCCTCAAAGGCGTGTGCCAACGCCCTTGTCGAACTCGCGGTTGTTCTAGAGGGTGATCGCAGCTCTTTTTGTGTTTCCATGCGAATTTGACAGGGGCGTGCCTGATCGCTAGGCTACTGGCTTGGGTGGGCGTTCCTGATGCTTTGTGTTTCTAGAGGCCTTCACGCGTGATCCGCTTGCGGAAAAAGGGGCCTATGGCGTTTGTGACTGGTTGACCTGCGCTTCAACCAACTCGGCTAGCTATTTGGTATTCATTCTGCATGTTGGACATGGCTTCAGAGCTGCAGCAAATCGTGCAGGCTAGGGATGAGTTCCTGAAGTACGATGACCAGGAAAGCCGGAAGGCAAAATTGAAGGACTGCAAGGTGAGCTTCAAACATGCTTGGCCAGGCATGACTGTTCCAGATTACGGGCCCTTTTTGCGGAAGGCAACCCAAGAGGAAGCTGTAGCAAGGTTGTCCAGCATTTCGCCAGGTCTTTGCAAGACCACGGTCGTCTGTTTGCCCCCATGCGACAACTGCCTTTCCGCCGGGTATGATTCCTTGCATAGCCTTGGATACCTCCTGTTCAGCGGGGTTTTGGTTCTAACTCAGCTGAGCTGCTACAAGATCTGGGATAAAGATAAAAGAAGGAAGATATCTGGGTCCGCCATCTGCAGGCCCCACTCAGTTGACGAAATAGGGTTCCTTCAATGATGCATGTTGGCCATTTGGAACATATCATGCACCAGCTGATGTAGGAGATTGTAGCACGGCTGCTGTTTCAAGGAAGAAGACACAACATACTGAACAGAACAGGTAGCATTTTGTGACAAAGCTCGAGGGGACTACCCGATTCCCATGCCAATCTATGACGAAACCTGGCGTGGCAAGAGGACATGTTGCTCGAAGCTGAGGATGGCGCTTTGTCGAAGGATTCAGTCGCACCAACTGAAACACCACTCAAAAAAAAGCAGGGTTTGATGGTGCCAGCACGGTGCACGTTCCCTCGAGCCTCAAGCATTGAAACCATTTAGTAGCTTTTCTTTTTGAGGGACGCCAAGCACGTGCTGAACCAATGGGGAAATGGCTAATGTCGGTGTTCATCCGGAACTAAGGACCATTGCCTTTCTTTAGTTTAGGCCTTGCAACGCCCTTACCAAAACCCCCCCTTCCTTTGGGGGGTTCTCCAACAAAACCACGCAAACACAACCCCTTGGGATAGTAAGTAGATCAAAACTGGAGGTACAAAAAGACGGAGGGGTTGTTCAGGAGCTTTTGGAGAAGGCGGCCTTCCTGCAAACCGAGGCCGAGGCGCCAGCTCAAGGTTTTGGCGGTCGGGAAGTGTTTGGGACACTTCATGCGAAACTAGGGTGAATCTCTAGCTGGGAACACAAGAGTTTAAGGAGCACCTCTGGTGGATGCAGGGATTGGAGCTGGTCAGATGTGCGGGTAATCAACCAGAGTCTGCCTCAGATGAGACACCCTGACCAGGTCCAGACCCAGTTGGAGACGGGCTCGGCCTCCACCTCAGCGAGCTGGACCTGTGCTTTGCTTGTTTGTTTGTTTGTTTGTTTGTTTGTTTGTTTGTTTGTGTGTGTCTGTGCGTGTTTCCCCAGACGGTTGCTTGAAGGATTCCCCTGACATGAATTCCAGCAGAAGGTTCCGGCGCTTTGCGCCTTCCTTCCAGATGCCACATTTCGGGGGGCGTTTGTGGTTCCATCTTCACACGACATGGAAAGCACCGGACTCCCACCCGCTCGGACGAAGTGTCTTTCTCTCCCAATTATGTGAAGTGGTTCCTGGTGTGGGGTCGTAGAGGGTTCATCTCCAAATCAAGGATCCCCGAGACATGTATAGTATCCTCAAACCAAGGGCACACCAATTTGAATAGCAGGTTTGGTCATCCAAAGCCTGCCCGACTGTCAGCTTCAATCATGGTTGCTTATCCTCAGCGAGCTGAAGCAAGCTCGTACCCTCAAGAAACCAAGCCACAAGCCAAACGACCCTTTTCGTTTCTTCGTTTCTGTTCGGCTTGTGGGCCATTGTTTCGGAGGTTTCGGAGAAGAAACACGATGGGAGGTGGTGGTCATCGACACGGTGCGGGAGACTTTGCGCGCCGGGCGCTGGGTGCCGCCCAGGCGAGGCGGGCTTCGTTCCCGGAGGTGTCGTTGGAAGAGCTACGGTTTAGGTTCCTCCTTTCGAAAGGGGGTTGGTTTAAAAATATCTGGTTCTTTTTAAATACCGTAGTTTGGAACAACAGACCGGCTTGTGCCGTTTCTTTTGGAACCCTTGCAAATTACGGTTCCGATCTTTTGGAACCCTGGCATGGGGTTATGAATTGTTTCGTATTTTTTGCTATTTGTCCAGCTGGGTTACACTTTGGCGGGTTTGGGGTCCAGCTTGGTATGGGCCAGGCCCTTCCAGCTTGGTATGGGCCAGGCCCTGCCACGTCCTTTTGATTCAAGGTGGCAAGTCACGCGCCCGTCGGGTGCCCCCCTTGGGCACAGAGGCAACTCCGGCCGAGCGCGGCCAGCTGGGCCTTGCGCAGGCCCAGCGTGCAGGCGGGCTAGCCTGCGGGATGTTGTGGGTTTCTTGGGTTTTTAGGGTTTGGTGTTTCTTTGGTGGTGTTTTTTGGTCTGCAGGGTTCGCAGACCCCACCAAAAAGGCTGATTCTTGAAGTTGGCGTTGCTTTTGGCTGGAAGGCCCCTGTGGGGTCTTTCACAAGGCAGAAGGAGATGCTTGACAGGCACGCTCCAGATACTTGCAATAGGAGAGACCAGCTCGGGCTTCAAATCGTCAATGGCAAAACATGCTGTGCATGAAGCCAAACCAATGTCCAAGCTGGGCATAGCCAAATCCAGAAATCCCCTGGCTACGAGGATCTTACAGGGATACATTTCTCGTGAGCATGGCACCAGCTGCATGTGGTCTCCGGCAGTCCAATCCCTACGTCCCCACGTGACGAGTTTAAGGTGACGTCAGAAGCTGATCCAGGCCTTTTCCTTTCAACCTAGCAGCCGACCCTCGGAATAAAATCGCAGGGCCAATGGGAGCTATCAAATCGGGCACTTGGAGGTGAATAGGCGACCGTCCAAGTAAAGAGACATGGGCCGCCTGCTGAGGCTTGTTGAGGCTCTTCCATGGCTATAGGGTTTAGGGTCCGGCTTTGGTCAACCTCCAGCCGCCCGGTTTCGTTCGAATTGACCTGCATGTTGGCAGTCCTCAGTTCGGGGTTGCCCAACCAAGCAATCGCTTCACCAAATAGACCAAATAGCTCTTTGTCCCGAGTTGAACCCACCTCCAACTGGTTGGTTTTATGTCTTCTTTGTTGCACAAACCGTCCCAAATAGATCCTTGGTTGCCACACCCGACCACCAACAGTCGCCGCATGTTGGATGATCAACTGGAGGTCCACATAGCTTTGTTTGGCCCGGGGGACAAGTCAAGACACAGCCAAAGCGCCGCAAACCCTGTGCAAGTCAAGGCCCAATGTAATACAAACTTGTTTTTTCGAGCAGGTAGATCCAACAGGTGTCAGGTTTTGGGGCTCAAGTGGCTAAAGCCAGGGTTGTGGGAATGGGTTGTTTCACACTTGTTTGATGCCACACAAATACCTCCGAGCCTTGAAATGAATACGTCTTGGGTGTCACGGCCGTTTGGTGTCACAACACAAATCACGGGTTTTTTGTTGTCTGGGGGCCTTTTGCTGGCAGGGCATGGAGCGGCTCCAGCGGATGCGCCGGCAAGCCGCCGAGGCAAGCGACGACTTGAGCTCTCCTTGCTCAAGCTGTCTGAGAGGGAAGGTGCATACGTGCACATGTCAAGCTTGCGGTCACACACTGGCAGTTGGGCTGGTCAAAAAGTGGGGTTGGAGTTGCTTGCTGGCACAATCTGGAGCATGCGCTTGCTTGCTTCAGGTCCTTTTTCAGGGCGGCGGGATGTTGAGGGACTTGGATGCGGCTTTGGACACCATCGCGCAGCGGTTGCAGACCCACGGCTGGGTCGCCTGCGAGCTGGGCGCACACCGAAAGTTGATGGAACGCGCGGTGCAGGAGAGTCGCGCTTGGCGGCAAAACCATGGTCTGGCTGTTGCCTTTTGTTTCAACGTTGCAATAATCGGCTTTTGGTGAAAGGGGTTGACACCCTGGTTTGCACCAAGTCAGCCTTGCCTCCCGTTTTTTTTGGATAGAAGCAGTTTCTGAGGGCCGACCCCAAAATTTGCTGATTTCTTTCTGGTTCTTTCGGCGTCCCAAACCTGGACGGGGGGTGCCAAATCTTGGCATCGCGTGAGGAGGCCCAGGGTTTGAAGTCCCGGATGTCGCGGGGTAGCACGGTGATCGAGAACCACATCCTGGACCCCGGGATGTCCAATGACCGGGGGGACCAGGCCGTCGCCAGTCGCGTCCCTTTGAGCTCAGAGTTCCATTTGAACCAAAGGTCTCGCAAGCTTGGGCCAACTGGCAAGTCTGGGAACATACTTCTTGTTTGTTGGGGGGGGGGTTCACGGTCATCACCAAGGGCAATTTGCCTTTGGCTCGAATCTTGCAACCTATCTGGATGGTCCTCAAACCTTCAACTTTGGGGACTGTGTGACTAAATGTATTCTTCCACCAACGGGGAAGTGCTTTTTGAGGGCCCCCTAGTTTTTGTTCCTCACATGGGGTGGGTCAGCATTGCCAGTAGCCCACGGTCCATTTCGGAGAAATACCAGAGAGATGGCGAAGCCCACCAAGTTTCAAAACACATAAGAACTCTTTCAGGTCCTTTTTTCTTTTTTGCTCTGTTTCTTTGCCTTATTCTTTTTCTATCTCTTTCTACATCCCTTTCTCTGTCCATCTATCTATCTATTTGCTCACCCCCCCCCCCCTCCCCAGGGCCGACCTTTTCACTTGTACAGTCTGTAAACATTGATAATTTCAACAGTAGGGGGTGCGCAAATCAATTATATATATATATATATCTATTATATCTATTCATTCTATTTATTTGTTTGTCGTTTTGATGTCACTGACCTATACTTCATGCACAGTTCCTTTTATAGATTACTCTGCTGCAACAAGCTCAAACAAGGTCATTCAGTGCTCCGACCAGGCGTCGCGATCCGGCCAAGATTCGAGCATCCCAAGGGACTGAAACCCACAATGGGCTGCGCCTTTCAGATTTCTAATCCCCGCATGTGTACGCTTGTTCTTCAGAGAGTTAGCTTTCCTTTAGTTGCCGTACCCCGGGAGTTCCTTCTAAGCTTCCTCTGATTGTGCGGGACTTTAGGGCGAGTAGCTAGTTTCGATCATGGCTGACATGGCTGTGAATCAAACAGGGAACGCTTCAAAGCGGGTGGACACAAATCTATACCTACACTCTTGTTCACCAAAAAAATCCTAATTAAGATTCACTGTGTTGTAGGGTGTTTCTCAAATAGGGCCTCCGGGTCCCCCAATACACGTGTGGTTTCTTCTTGGTTTCCTTGCCACCAAGTAGGTTTCCCTTTTGGATTCCCCTTCCCAGCCCCCAACCTTCAACCGTTTTAACCGCACGCTGATGGGAGGTGCTCTTCATGGAGGAGCAGGGCCTCACAGGCCCGGAGGCCGCCAAGGGCCCGGCGCCCACGTTGGCGCTGCTGAACTCCGCGCTGGCGGACGTGGGCTTCCAGCTGGACCAAAGGCGCCGATTGCCACGGCCGCGAAGCGTGGGGGGAATCTCCGTGGACGGCTTTCGCATTGCTTCCCCTTTCATACAAGCCCGCAGGGCGCCCTTAAGGTACACGTTGAACTTGTAAAAAGGAAGCAAGCGCCATGAAACCCAATATGGAGTCGCTACCAAGCAGCCATTCTTTTGCAAATGAGCGCAAATTATTTTGAGGGGAGACACTGAGAATTCACTTCCAACCACTAAGTATGGTTGGCTCTCTCATTGCCGCAAGTAAACCAACAACATATCACGGGATGTGCACGGATTCCCTGGGTCTCTACTTGCTTCATACTCAGAGAGCCCCTTGTAGCCTCGCTTTCCATGCTTCCAGCAGGCTCCAGAAGACTATGGCGCTCCGCCTTACGGAGCGCTGCGACGGCATGCTGTCCTGTGCTTGGGCCGAACTTAAGAAAACATATTTTCGGCAAGGAGTTTCAGAAAATAGGGAGCACCTACTTCTCCTTCTCAGGAAATCGGACAAACCTTCGGGGTTCCCATGCTTGGGGACAAGCTCATTGCGTTTCCAAACATGGGACATCACCTTGGACACGGGGAGCATTCACCACAAACGCAACGGGGACGCAGTTTCACAAGTGCTCAAATGAGTTTTTTCAAGAATCCCCTCTCGCCCCAGAAGTGGGGGTTGTTTTTTTGTTATTTTTATTGGGGTTTCCTAAAAGCACCATACGCGTGGGGACTTCCTTTTGATAGAAATGTGCACATGAGCAGCAGGGAGTATCCAGAGTTTTTTCCACACAAGGGGGGGACCCAAAGGACTTTGAAGCAGTGTTGTTTGTTGCTCAAATTAGGGAATACCTGCATGAACCTGCCCCTCAAGAGGGAAATGGGGAAAGGACCTGCATAGTCCTCATGCTTTCTTCAACAGGACTAGATTCATTCCCAACTAGAACCAACCAGAACCCAGCGAAACGTGACACAATCTTTGAGTGAGCCTGAGCCCTTGGTTTTGGTGTAGGCGTTTGGCTGTATGCCGGGTTCTCCCAAAGTAAGCTTCGCTCAGAATGCTTGAAAGTCCTTGCGCAGCAAAGGCCAGGTTTATGAATTGAAATCCGGATAACCTCTTGCGGGAATCCCTTTTGACCAACCTTGATTCATCGCAGATTCATCAAGAAAACATCAATCATTCTCCTCAATTCTGGAAGGATCGAGCTGTGCAACTGATCTTTTCGGGCACTGGTCGTCAATTGGGCCGCTTGGTTGAGGTACAGGGAATGTTGTTGACCTATGTTATGCGCATTGGATGAGCGTCTTATTCTGCTCAGCGGAATCCGGACATCTATCGTTGTTCTTGAGAATCACTGGGTGCAACTTGCTTTTACCGACCAGCAGGGGGGGGGGGGGACGAAAACATGTTTCAGCCAGCATGAGTCCAAAACCGGCAGGGTTGGGGGGGGGGTGCTTCCGGGAGGGTTAGAGCTCAGTTTTGGGACCTCCAAAATGAATTCGACTTGACTGCATGGCCGCAAAGAGCCAAAGAGCGCAGGTAGGCTAACATATCCAGAACGTGAAAGTTGCTAGGGGGGTTACGCGTTGGGTACTGCAAAACATTCTAGTAAGGAACTGGACCGTCGATGACCCTAAACCCGAAAACAACAAGACACAAGCTTAGGCTACGGCCCAGAGAATGGGGGGTACAGCGCCCACGTGGACAACGCGGACGGGGATGGCCAGGTGGCCGGCCGAGTACTCACCGCCATCTTGTACCTCAATGCGGGCTGGGACCGCCAGGACTGATTTTTTCGGGGGTAGGGGTGTGGGGCTTGGGGAGGCGAATTGGGCGGGACATTAGAGGCGAAAAAGGCAATGCCCTAAACAAGAAGGTTGCAAAATAGACTCCAAGTGTGCTCCATAGGGAGGAGGACATTTTTGCAATCAGGTTTGCAGTTGTTCTGTGCCACCCTCATCAAATACCACCAAAACCCACCGAGAAGAGGGGGGCAACATTGCTGCCCCTAATTGTCACGTGGCAAACGATTACTGCAACGCTTGCCGAACCCCTGACATCGGTCAATGCGTCTAACCAGGGTTGCATTATCATTGAATACTTGAAGTCCGTCGAACCCCCCAAAAGCCTTGAAGTCTGTACTGAAAACTGTCCGCTGACCAACTCTTTCGAGTTTTGGGCCAACTCTGCCCACGCAAGAACCCACATTCGTTGGGCCATAGGTTGGAGCACTACTCCATGGTCAGTAACGTTTATTGTTTGGCAATCCAGGACGCGGGCGAGCTTGCGATTTTCCACCCGGAGAAGGGGGACATCGGGGATGCAGACGTCCAGGGCAGGTGGCACATGGTCCATCCGGAGGCGACGGTTGAGGTCAATTTGGGGTTTGGACTCTATGTAGCGTGTTTGGACCGTGGCTCGTGTGAACCCCATATTTATAAGTCTTTAAGTGTCCGCAAGCATAAACATGGAAGTGCAGGACCCTGTCCGCAAGAAAGCCAGTCAAGGACAGCGCCTGCGCCGTTCCACGTTCGTGGAGGTTTCCTCCGGTTGACGTTTGACGCGTAGAGGGAATCCTATTTTGAGTGGAGAAGGCAACAGACTGGATTTCATTTGGCCTCCGAAGAAATCGTGATTTTCATTCCGTCTCCCCAGCAGCGTTCTTTTGAGGGGTCTAGCAAAAGCAGTAACGGGCGGGCCCAACCTACGAGTAGGCTTGTCTCCCCCCCTTTCATGTGGTTTGAAAGGACAACCAAAGAGAACCATGCGAAAACCATACAGTCCTGCTTGGAGACCCGAGGCCAACACGCTGGTTCTGCTGCGAGCCGACCAGACGTTGCATGAAGTCCGCAGCTCCCGCGCGGAGCGCTTCGCCATCAGCGTCTGGTTTTGCGGGCAGCATGCGGAGACCTGGTCAGATTTAACTTGCCGTTTTGGCTGTTCTTGGATTCTGGCCACCGGCCACAGGACGGAAATTTGGATCAGCTGCCAAGTTTCCTTTGCCCGGGTTCAAAATCCGCCTTAGACCTTCTCAACCTTCTCCTTTGCTTGGAACCCTTCGGGCTTTTGCTATCCCGGACTGGCCAAGAATCTAAGTCTTTGGGTCTCTGGGGTCTCTGTGCCGAGGAGTACGGCGGGTCCTGACGGAACCGAAGCGTTGCACTCTGAAGCTGCCTGTGAAGTCGAAGGTGATGCAAGAGGCCACACATGTAAGTGTGTGTGTGTGTGCGCGCATGCGCGCTCGTGTAGAAATAGAGAACCCCAACATCTGTCATCTTCCACTGGGTATGTTGATCCAGTGGAATTTGGACTGTATTCCGGGGACATATTTCGAGATCACCAATATCGAATGCACTCTTCCCTTTGGCTTTGAAAGCCGACCCAAATCAGGTACCTTCAAAATACACATGCCAGTCAAGAAACCTGGGTAGATCAAGACCAGGGATATGGGGCATGCCCATCACCTGACAAATTTTTGCTTGCTTCCTGTGCAGGCCGAGATGCGTGTTTTCCAGGACAACGTCGACTGATTTTCACGTGAGTTGTCATCGGGGTGGCTTTCAGTGGACTGCACAGAAGGCACGGGACATCCAGAAAGTCTTATGCGGGAAAGGCGCATGAGAGCTGCGCAGACTTGCCTGTGATGAAGGAGCGGAGTGTGGAAAAGGCCGGTAAGAAGCAACTTGTGTCCGACACGATAGATACGATTCACGTGAGCAACAGGTTTGCACATTGCCGCACACCCAACCCCCCTTGAAGGGGTCAAGCGCCAGCGCATTGGACTTTTGCCGAACCCGCCCCAAGCCCCGCCGCCTTTCTCGTTTGCAACGGAAGAGTTCCATGGAAAGAATAGTGAGTGACAGTTGTTAAGTGATGATGAAGGGAAGGACGATAGCAAGAAATGGAATGGGAGGAAATAATTTGGAATGGGAACCAAAGCGGGAAGGGAAAGGTAAAGGAACATGAAGCGAACAATATCAGTTGTCCCACTTTTTCCCCGAGGGCAACCACACAAGATTGAGCCTGCTTTTCCTTTCCAAGTCCTCGCCTTCCATGTCCTTGTCATTTCCCGTTCCCAGCCTTTGCATGTCTTGAGTATTCTTTTCATTCCCGGCGTCCCAAGCCAAGCCCCGAGGCCGGCTATCGCAACTGAGGTTTTTGCCCCGTCTCTCGATCATGGACATTTGGCGGTTGATGCGACGTCATGCGCGCAAAAGTGCTTGACTTGCAATGAACCATAGTCTTTGCCGCAGCTGAGCACGTCGGCAGAATTCACGAGGTGTGAGAGGCGAAGTGGAGGGATGGAGGCAGTGTCTCGCGCTGGGCAAATATGGGCAAAAAGCTTGAACGGCTGGCCGAGCAAGGAAATGCAGCACGGGACAAACACAGGAGATGTGGGTGGTGGCCGTTTCTGAGGATGTCCAGTTGAGCTCTGCTTACGCGCCAGCGGAGTGAAGGTCTTAGCGCCGGCGCTTGGGGTGCATGCGCTTGGCCCAAAAGAATGACACGGAGTGCACTGAACCGCCATCGGCCATGAGGCTCGCTGCCCCGACGTGTGTCAAAATATAGGGCTCTTAGATTGAAGTCATCCCAACGAAGCCTCACTAGCAACCAGCAAGCCCTCTACTACGCGAGCAAGGTCCCACAATCAACGCGAAGGTCCGATTGCTTTTGGTCCATTGTTGGCCCTTTGGTCCCAGCTCGCGCCAATGTGAAGGGGGATACTTGTTTTCCCCTGTGTGCAGCATGCCTTCTCCCGCAAAACTGTTGGAGCATTTTGCGCTAGCACTAAAAAGGAACAGATGTAGCACTTCTTACGCCAACATGGATGTTGGACGCTGCGCCAAGCCCACAGCGCCTAGCCATCCGCAGCTGCGTGGTTCGGGCTTTTGGCTCGGAGGCGTTGCTGTTACCTGGCCAGTCTCCAACGGATGAGTCGCCGGACCTTGCCGACGCCCTCACTATCTCCCGAGCCGAACCCTCTTCCCGTTGTGGCGGCGCGACGCGCTTCCCGCTTGCCGCTTCAGTCTTCATATTTCCAGGGCGGTTTTTGGCGACCTCGCGCCAGATCGCAGCCTCAGTGGCTGCGGCCTGCAGACGCTGGAGAGGGCACCTCCCTCCCGAAAAGCGGATTTGACGCGATGGCGGCATGAAGCTGTTCACCTTGAAGGGTCGAAATATGAGTCGGTCCAGCTTTCAACATATCTTCGCAAGAACTATTGAAATTGCTACGCGATCCGCCGATGCCATCTGTGGTGCGACGACTGCCGCTTGTGCGAGCTTGCTGCCGCCCTCGGATAATGGGTTGGTCTGCGGGTTCGTATCCCTAGGCGCGCTGAGTGGGGTTTCTCCTGCAATATCTAATGCCAAGATGGCAAAAAAAGTCCGGTCTTCGCATCCGAATCTATCATTGTATGAATTTCGGACGTGACAACTCAGTATGCCATGTGAGTCAGCAATCCTATTGCGTCAAAAGATCCCATATGCTGAGAATGCGGAGGCTGCAGCCGACTGCATGGGAAAGATCAGAATATCACAGGGAAGGCTGGGGATGCAGATAATGCTGGGGATGCAGAGGCTGCTGGGGATGCAGCTTCCAAAAAAGCAGTGTTTCGATTTTTCCCGCAATTAACAACAACAAAAAGAAGCAACCCGTTGAAATACCCGAAATATGGACTTCCAAAAGCACAATAATGCTGGGGATGTTTCGCAGCGACGCCCTATAAATAGGGATTCCGATTTTAGCAGTTCCTTAGATCGCCACCCCACCAAGACTCAAACATGCTTGATGTCAGCAACACAAAAAGAAAAAACATTCCGCCAGCCCTGATAATGCTGGGGATGCAGAATCTCAGGAGTGGAAGCCTTCCAAATTTCTATGCAAAACTCAGGGTCTCGTCGGAGACGCGCTGGTCCCCCGCCTTCCGGGTGGCAGTCGCCGCCACCAGTCTGTTTTCCGGCAGCTTCATGGTGAGGTCCTCGCCCAGATCGGCCCAGCTTTTCAGGCTCTCTTGTTTTCGCGAACTGGCCCGCACAACCGCGGCATCAGCCTGGAGCTTGCCCTCGCTGCTTTTTTTGCGGCCCGCAACTGCCGATGCGATCACCGTCTCGACCTTGTTGACGACCATCGTGCAGCTTGCCCCCAACAAGGCGCGCAGCACAAATGCAGCTGCCAACTTAAGCGCGCAGCTGCCAGCGACAGCCAACACTGGACGACAGGCGCGTCGAAGTCATTGCTACGTGGAGGCGTGGCGTGCTAGAAGCTGCTTGCGCCAGGCGTTGGGCGGCCCAGCATGCGCTTGCAGCCAGCTTGCTGTGCGCAGCGTTGCTGTCCAGTGACGTGCCAGAGCTTCAAGCGGAGCGCCAGCCGCCTCCGGGGCGCCTTAATGTCATCCCTTCGTGCACTCGAAGGAAGCAGCCGTCACCTGGACTCCATGTAGCGACAGCCAAAGGCTACACGTCCTTGATGTTCTGGAGGCAGCCTGTTGTGCCTGCATGTCCGGAGGCAGCCCCTCTAGGGCGCAAGCGGGTGAGAAAGAACAAATGATTCGTACCCTAAGTCCACGAACTCGGTCATCATACGCGCCCAGGCATCAGCATCAACTGCTGCCAGCCCAGTCCAAGGTTTTGACCTCGCTCAGTGGTAATTGGCACAATACATTCCCATTTTACTCGGTTCAAGCCATATGAGTCCAGCACCAGCAGCCGAGCCAAGTGAACTTGACGAGGCAGATGTTGCACAGCCAACACGCTTTTCCCTCGTTGCAAGGGGCTTGCTTGAGAGCAGCCTTCACAGCCATTGATGCCTTGGATGTAGAGACGGTGCTCAGCCACCCATGCCGCTACATTCGGTCCCCACCGCACGTCCTTGGCGGGAGGCGTGGTGCTTCTGACCAGTCTGTGTTGGCTGATCGGTTGCGCTCGGGCGCCCAGCCCGCACCGCCGATGGTCGTGCGACCGCCCACCGCGCGGTCAGTTCCGGACCAGCGCCCGCTTCCTCATGGCTTTCTCAAAAAAACAAACGTTGGCCCCGCAACCCGGCACACGGCATCACACCCGCGCCCAGCTCCCCTGCCAACGGGCCCCCAACAGGTTTGTCGCGCATGCCGGACCTGGGCAGCCCCCCCCTCGTCCGTGCTGCCCTTGCCCGATTCGACCAAGTAGACTTGCAGGAACTCCCTGAGCAGCGTTGCCTGGCCAAGTTTTTTGTGGGGACCTTTCCGTGCAGCTCTTTCGTTGGCCCTCTCGGCCTGCGGATGCCCCTGCTCAAGTGACGCGTGGTGTGCTTGGTGCCCCCCCTGGCCACCAGGGCGTGCCAGCGCCAGATGCCGCTGACCCAGAAGCCGCTGACTGGAAACCCTCTGGGAGTTGCGTGACCCCGCGCGCCGACCGCCCTCACTCGCGAGGCCCGTGCCACCTGAGGATCAAGCCTTCCAGCCTCCAATTTGCGGAGTGCACGGCGGGGAGCAGCTCCTGGTCCGTCTGGCGCCACCGCCAACATTACCGCATCTTGTTGGATGATGAAGAAAGCACTTCCCTCTTGGCACGAGCCGTGCGGGCTCTCGCACGTGCCGATGTCCCTGCTGAGATCCTTGAGGGGCCGCATGGTCGCTTTGCAAAAGCCGAACGGGCGCGTGTGTGGTCTTGTCATGGGCAGTGCGTCTTGGGCCGCGCGCTTCTCGGCCAAGAACGTTTGTGTGAACGAGAGGCTGCCGAGAGGGGACCCGAGGACAACCAACCCCTGCTTGTCGGGCGGCAGGGATGGATCGCCCACCCAGTTGGGGTCCCCGGCGCTCCCGAAGGCCTCCACGCCTGGCAGCAGCACACCGCCGGCGCTCCAAGCCCGAGTCTTCCCCAAGTTGACCTGGATGCCTGCATGCGCCTGCAGATGCGCCTGCAACACTTGAAAAATGACACACTACCGGGCCGCGAGAGGATATAAATGTCATCCAGATAAGCGCAAAGAGCCTTTTCCTGGCAAGAGCAAGCCAGGCATCATCCGCCTGTTCCCCTACTTCGCCTTGTTCGACGACATGCGCCATGCCATCGTTGTCGTACCACAAGTACTGCGAGGCCTGGCCATAAAACTGCCGCACGTATGGCAGCAGCGGAGCGAGGCGCTCGTGCGACGCAAGCTGGGGGAACATGCTCGCCCGGGAGACGTGGTCGAAGGCGCCCCCTGATCCTGCCTCTCGCGCGTTGTTCCTTTCCTAAGCAGGCAACCATGCCGGGTGCTTCTTCACTGTCCCCCCCCAACCACCCCCCAGTTCAGCGTCCCGGTTGCGGCCTTGCGCCGCCTGCGCGTGCCGCTCCCCTTCAGTGAGCGGGTGTGCTCGTGTCGGGGAGCCTGGATGCCTTGGGGGGCCATCGTGCGGCGCGCGCCTCAACCTCGACGCGCCGGTGCTGGACGACCGCCGCCTGGAGGTTGTGGCCAAAGCTTTGCCCATTTGGGGCGGCGTGCAGGTCGTCAACCACCCTCGTCAGCCCTGTCCGAGCTGACGGTGCTCCGCGGCCAGGAGCCGACCGCGAACCCGGCCTTGCCCTGCACCAGATCTGCCGCCGCAAGCGCCACCACACTTACCCTGAGCTCCTCCAGAGCCGGCGCTGACGCCTGCTCGTCCTCGTGCGCGCCTGCTCGCGCGCGCAAAGTATTTTGGCTCAAGGTTGCCACCATTTTGGC